AAAGACTAATTTTTTGCGTCTACTCAATAAAGTAAGGAATATTTATGGTCCATAATCCCATTAATATTATTTCATTCAACGTCAGATCTCTCGTCGATATAAGTCGAAGAATTGAACTACAGAAAATCCTTTCTAAAAGCAACATTGACATAGGTTTCATACAAGAATGTCACCTGAGGAAAAATACAAATATATCCCTATATGGCTACGATTTTATATATGATTGCTCACCAATTGGAGTGGCGGTTGTAATCAAAAATACAATTTCGTACAATAAAATCAACATTGACAACGTCGGTTTTCCAAGCATTTTTATTCAAATTGACTTCAAACGCAACAACATTAATAGAAAACTACTACTTGGGTCCATTTACATACCCTGTAATTTCTCTACCGATAGTTTATATGCTGATTTGGACAAAATCCTAGATGCTGCCAATAGTTTTGATGACTTTGTGCTTGGCGGCGATTTGAATGCGAAAAATCCTGTATGGGGAGATTTGGTTGACAACTGTAACGGCAAAACCCTTCAGAATTGGCTCATGGACCATAGTTTGGAAGTCAATCGAGTGTGCGATATTAATCCGAGCTACCCTAACGGCCTTTCTTTCCTGGACCATTTTCTAATAAGCCCTAATTTGCACAATGGTCCCAACTATAAAGTTTCTACGCTTTCAACGTTTTCCGATCACTTTCCAGTCAAACTGGAAATCAAATTGGATTCTACAGAGCTGTTACTACGTAGTCCTCGTTATTTCACTTCATATAAGAACACCAATTGGAACCAGTTTCGTCGTGATATGGTAATTGCCACTTACAGTATGCTTCCAGCTGAAAATGTTAATATAAAAAATGATGAGTTGGATGATCTAATAAATGATTTTAATACTAATCTCAAATCAGTACATGATATCCACTCGGAAAAAATTGAATATAAAGGCAATAAAACTCCATTATCTGATTCTGTCAAGAAAATGTTCACTACGAAACATAAATGGCAAAGAGATTTGAAGAGAATTTTTCACAGAACAGGTAACAGACAAAGTTACGAGTACAACATCCTCTCCAAACAAATCCAGCTTTTAAAGGTGATTATTAAGGAAGCAGTAAACATAGAACAGGCTAGAATATTTAATAAGAGATTGGAAAAAATAAAACCTGCTCCCTCTGCATTTAAGGAAATCTTCCAAATTGTGGGAAAGAAGAAGAATTCACCATTTTGCAATCAAATTTCTCATGATCATAGGACAATCACGAATGACAATGAAATTGCAGAGGTATTTCAGGAGCACTACTCGTCAGTCTTTCGTGAAAAAATACCTGAAATCCCTCATGAATATATAACGGAACGAGTTTCATCTGGTCTGAATCCTATTTCCCAACATATTTACTCATTTGATGATGAATTTAATTCGTTGGATAACAGTGATTTATATCACTTTACAAATGTCAATTCAATTAAGGAAATTGTTAAGAAAATAAACAACAAAAAGTCTTCTGGATTAGATGGAATCTCGAACTTTCTAATCAAAAAGCTTCCTGACTTAACGCTAAAATTCCTTGTCATAATATTTAATAACTGCCTTAATAATTGCTACTTCCCGTCCGCATGGAAAACTGCAAAAATAATACCTATCAGAAAAAAGGATAATAGTGACAGACCTGAAAATTTTCGTCCAATATCATTGCTATCGAATCTTGGCAAAGTTTTCGAACATGTTTTGAAAGAGAAGCTTGAAAAAGACTTCATAGTTGAGCCGATTTCTCCATTTCAATTTGGCTTCAAACGGTTTCATTCTACCCAACATGCACTTTTGAAATTCTCAGACGATGTTGTGAAAAATTTAAGAGGAAAGTCTTGTACAGTCGCAATATCTTTGGATATTGAAAAAGCATTTGACTCTGCGTGGCATCTGGGAATTTTATACAAATTATTAGAACTTGGAATTGATCCATTTTTGTTGAAAATTTTTCAAAGTTACTTTATCAACCGCATATTTTGTGTTCAGATCAACGATTCTATTTCCACTGCTGGATCGGTTAAGAGTGGTGTGCCGCAGGGAAGTGTACTTGCCCCATTGCTTTTTAATCTCTTCTTAAACGATTTTCCGCACATAACGGAAAACTCTAAGGCAATTCTCTACGCAGATGACTGCATGATATACGCCCACGATGTGTCGCCAATCCGTGCATTGAACTTTGCTGCCGTTCATCTTAGATTGATAGACGATTATTATAAAAAATGGGGTATAAAGATCAACGCTGCAAAATCTGAAGCGATCTGTATAAGAAATGCATCTGGTAAATGCGCAAGATATGTTGTACCCGAAAGTAAAAAGCTTGACCTGAACTTGGATGGCGTTGACATTCCTTTTAAATCTTCAATAAAGTATCTTGGTGTCCATTTTAATAAACTCTTTAAATTTAATAATCATGGACGAATTATCCTCTCAAAGTGCAAACGTATATCAGGCATGTTCTCTGGACTGTTTAACAGTAAATACCTACCCCGGGAGACGAAACTTCTTCTATACAAGGTCGCAATTAGATCGGCTTTATCCTACGCATTCCCAATCTGGTTCACTATTTCTCCAATAGTGGCCAAGGAATTGGAGATCTTCGAGAGGAGAATCCTAAGAAATTGTATTGGGAAACATTTTGAGAGTTTCGCGAAACGTTTTTCCAATACTTATATATATGAAAATGCAAACGTGATCCCTTTTAACAGATACGTATTGGCACTTCAGAGAAGATTTGTTGAAAAACTTGAATTTCATGACAACTCATTGATGAATCTGATATTTGAATCAGAGAAGGATACGAAATGGATTGACTTCCCGTATTTATCTCCGATTGGTGTTTTGAATGAGCCCACCGGTAACGATACACCGCCTTTGACACTACTGGACTTTTACGCCAACACTGTGACGGGATCTCATAGGGGTTAGGTGCAATATTTATACTTTTGTTTTTAATATTATTATTATTATTTATGATTATTATTTATGATTATTACTTTTACTTTATATTGGAGATTTTGTCCACTTGTGGAATTCTATGTTTTCTTTAACATTCATTTGTTATACATAGTGCAATCGGCATTAATTGTTTATGGATGATTTTTAATCGAACACTCGTTTGATACTCAATGTAACATATCTGTGATACTCATTGTTCTGCTAGTATATTGAACGGCTGTTTTGTTTTGATTAGTTTTAAGTGTTGATTAGTTTTAATTTTGTTTATTTTGTTCAGACATTGCTCTGTTAGTTAACGTTTATGCCGGGAGCAAGCATTTTTCACTATTGTTATCTCAATGTTATTTAAAACATATTCCATTTCCTTTTTGCAAAGTTGCATTATCCTCATATTTGTGCATTAGAACAAAACGTATATAGTTCTAAGAATTTTCATGTCACTAAGTTTAGTATTTAAACATTCGTTGTAAAAGAAAGAAAAGAAGACTCAATAAAACATTTTACTTACTTACTTACTTACTTGTTTTTCGTTTGTTTGTTTTATTACTTTTTTTATTTCATTGCACATCTTTGTATTTGTTTGTTCTATGCTATTACATATTTCTTTATTACTGTTTTCATTGTCTTTTATTGCTCCATAAAGTTTTTTAATTTCTTGTACATTTTATTCACAAGCTTTTTGAGTGTTATCAATAATTTTAAGTCTTTCTTCATATCTTTTTTCAATCGCCAGTAATAATTGCTTTATTTCATTTTCGTTGCTCTTTAATGATGATTCAAATTCCCTTTTATATTCCTTTAGGTTTTGTTTATTTATTCGTACCCCATCTTGTATTTCTCCCAGCACTAGATCCACATTTCTTATATATTGCATACAATCCTCGCAAATAAATCTAACAAAATTACTTGATTCTAGAACTCCGATCGAATATTGGTCTACACCAGAGCATTTTTTTGTACAATGATATATTTTATCGCAAACACCATTGCATCTTATTCCCGTCTCTCCCCTAATTACTGACTTGCACGTACTGCAATCAGTCATTTTTGGGTTATTTTTAAGATTATTTATCAATAAATTTTTATTTTAGAAAAACTTTATGTTCACTAATAGGATTAATGTTTTTAAGTGTTTTAATAGTCTTTTTTCTATTTTTTACACTGTTTATTATTTGTTTTTAATTATTTTATATAGAGCTGTTGATTTTTGCTTGTTATCGCTCTCTCTCTTTTATCGACATAACTCGCTTCAAACTGCCAGTAAAGCAACAAAATTCGACATAAACAAGTTTTATCGAAACTAAAATCTGTGTTAAATTTTAGGAAGATTGGTAAATAATTGACCCTACCCCCATATAAAGTCACATTCAGAAAATGACTAACGCTCATAACTTGCTTTAAAATGCCAGTATAGTATAGAAATTCGACATAAAAAACTTATGGGAAATAAAATCTCATCGCTGAATTTTTTCAGAATCAAGGAATAATTGACCCTACGACCCATATAAGGTCCCCTTTAAAAAATTACTATAAAAATGTTTCATAGATTTCTCTCTATAAGGATCGATCTAAAATTGGTAGGGTAAATTTTAGACCGATCCTATTCTTCAGAAAATACTTTTAAAAATGGCTTAAAATTCTACATAAACAAGTTTTATAGGAAATAAAATCTCTTCGTCCCCTCAAAAAATTACTTTAACACAAATAACTTTAGAACATGCAATTCAACAACATGCAACAGGTATTATTGAAACCAAAATATTTGAAAAATATTTTATATTTACCTCCTACTGAAAACCGTTCAATAAATAAAAATAATTCATACTACTATTTATACACGAAATTAAAGCTTAGAATAAATGAGTAACTTGTGATAACAAATGACAAAGGGATCGATCATATAGTATAGGAAATACATATATGTTATAGCATGTATTTTGATGGTGGTATATAACTCTTACTTGTTTTTTTAACGTTTGCTTGCGTAAAAAATGGCCCATTTTTTAGTTGTAAAGAACTCACCTCGAATAATATTCCATAAGTAATTCTACGTCGATATTCATGGCGACTAATTTGTCTGGTACAATACCTTCAGATAAACGCAACTGACATGCCTTTATTTCCAGTTCTCTTATAATGAAAGCAAGTGGAAAGCAGTGGCCCGATTCCCCAAATTCCTTGAAAAGTGTTTCAATTTTTGAAAACAATCGTGTACTTCTTTCTTGCATTGAACCTGTACCTTCGACTGATTTATTTATGATTTGACCCCATACAGATTCAATTAGCAAAGGATCGTTATGATGCGAACAGTTAAGAATAGTTAATTTGCACTCCCACAAATCAAATGGATCCGCAAAATTCTCGTACAACTGTGTAATATCATATAAAATTTTGTTTAAATTTTCAACAGCTTTATTAGCATCGTTATTAGTTGGTGCTAAAGCTGAAACAGCATCCAAGACAGTTTTTTGAACACGAGCAATTTCTAGCTGAAATTGTGAGATATAGATATATTCAAATATGTATTAACATTATTATATAATATAAATAACCTTATCCTCTAGTTCCTTGAGTAGGACACCGTTTGTTATAGAGTAACCAACTCCATCATTTCGCATGCACATTACTGCTCTAGCCAAATACTCAATTCTTTGTATTAATGGAATGCCATCACTCTGAGTAGATGCTAAATTATCTAGAATACGTGCAGCCTGTGCATGATGACCATTTTTTTCATAATACTTCCATAATAAATCGATTAAATTTAAATTATCTGGATTTCGTACAACATTTCTTCGTAGAAATTCGCCCAGAGTCTGTTCTGTTAACGATAGTAGCTCAGAAAGCATATCGTGCGCCATTAACCATTCATAGACACAGACATGTAAAATCGGATCTTTTATTTGTACAGACATACCAACAATTTTCATAATCTGGGCATTGACACTCAACTCTTGTTTATTGCATATTTGCTGAGAAAACTCTTGGTTTGCATTGGCATTACAAACAGATTGGTAGACATGATCCATCATCAGTTTTACTTCCTTATAACAATTTAGGCTAGAAATAAAAGGGTCATACATATAAATAATTTCACCGGAAGCGTTTGTTTTGATATTCTTAAGGGAATTTTGGGTTATACAAAAATATATATAAAATGTTGTATTAATTACCGTGCAGCATATGCAGCGTATCCTTCACGATCCTCTTCTGGTTCATCGCTCTGGTAAAAATGTATGCCAAATTCTTCAGGATCAATTTTGAAAGCACATGTAGATGTCAACTCTATAACACCTTCAAAAAAGCCACTGAGTACAAACTAAAAAAATCCAACATTTAGCCTAATTAAATAAATGTTATAACTTGAACAGAAAGGTTCTGAAATTATATGTTGCATAAAGCTTTTTATATTACATATCGCTTTTCCCAATAGTAATTGAAGTGCGTTTTATTGATTATTTTTTCGGTTTTTAAGAGGTTTATATTATATTATTTCTGGCTAAACGAAACAAAGTATTTTAAAAACAAAACATATCTTAACAAAAATTTAATATTCAATATATGTATATATGTATATGAATATATATATATTCATAATGTAATATAACAAAATAAAACAAGATTTATGTGAAACTCTTGTGATAAAATCAATAAGGTTAGGCCCAAGGTCGAACCTTAACCCTGAAACTATCAAAAAATCCTAACTCGAAATAAAAAACATTTTTAATAATATTGGCCATCTTTTCTGGCCAAAAGCTTCAGTGTGGGTCCGCTTAAATTTTGAATTTTATCGTATATTAAACTTTTTTAAGTTACAGAGATATTATCCAATTTCGAAGATAAGCCCCATTATAACCATGAGAATTAGGTGAACCTTCACATTCATTTATATAATTTTGTATAAAACGTTAATGTAAGTTTTTTGAAAACATTCAAATTAGACTTCAATTTTAAGATAATTATTTCAAAAAACTCTTTTCGTATGTGTCAAATTACCTGCTGACAAATATTTTGTAAAGGTAAATTCGGAGCTGCATCTTTGCATAGTTGTAGAGCTGTTCGTAACTTGTCCTGCTTTTCTTCAACAATGGTACAATTTTTAGAATTCATTAATATTTCCGTGGCCTTAAATGAGACAGCGTCCTCATGGCGGTATAAATTGGGACATTCGTCTCGCAGTTTTGAAGATATTGTGCTAACTGATGCGTTATCCTTTAAATAAGAATTTATTAAGGCCACAATCAAAAGTGCACACGACTCAGAACGAGATAAAATTAAATCCCGAAAAGTGCACGATAATAGAACTGATTGTTGCTCTTTTAATAATTGACTGGCTAAAACTTGGAATTGATGTTCGCATAAAATTTTCCACAGTGCTATAACTTCACAAGTATGCTCTAATAATAAAAAAATACAATTAGTATACATTATATAATATAGCGATCTGTATACATTACTTATAAAATAATTCAATGCAGTCAATGAACGCTTTTCTTCGGTTTGAGCTTGTTCTGCAGCATTCATTTGTGGGTCATTTGTATGCATATTTGTGCTATTTTGCATCAAAAGGCCATATCCATTAGAAAGTGTGTTTTGATTATTAAAAGCTCTCATTGTACCTTAAAAATGAAGTAAGTTTAACTGAAATTTCTATAAATATATATTTAACTAGTAATAAACTTACATGATAAATCATTAACGGAGTTTGCATCCAAAAAATTTTTGAGCGCATACAAATCTTCCAGAATAAATGTACAATCCGCCTGAGTTAATTTACTATTTAGATTCTCATCCACACAACGAATTTTCCATATAGGACGTAATAGACGTGCGACATATATATAAAGACCATCATGTTTAGAGGAATAAATAATTGCATTCATATCGTTAACTGGAGCAATACCAGATCCAATGAATGAATTTTGATTATAAACTAAAATAAAAGAAAATAAAAGTTAAAATAAAATATTTATTAAAACTCCATCTAAAAAAAAACTTTTTTTATTTTAAATTAAGAAACATTAAATACACAGAAAAAATTAATTTTAAAAAATTTTCAATTAATCAAAAGTTTTAAAAGGGTTCAATTCATTTTATATTTGATTCATAAAAATGTATAATCAAATACGTATTTAACAACAACAAAAATAGAAAAATATAAAAATTTTGTGTACGAAATCAATTATAAGTAGTAATCGAATATACAATTTTTGTTATAGGTTGAACTTCAAAAAATAAAATAATTGAAAACGAGGTTTTGGTAATTGAAATCGTTTTTCAGTTTTTTCTGTGTATGAACTCAGATTATTTAATAGTGAATAATCAAAATTACCTTCTGAATATAAAAATATACTATAAAGTACGTATATTTTTATGACCATATATTTTTAGATTTTTTCAATGTATTTAAATTCGTTTCTAATATAATTTTTTATATGCAAATTTTAGAGTTTTTGAGAAATTGTAAAAAAATAAAAATAGCCGTATTAATGAAAATAATTAATGTTTAATTATTTTTTCATTCGTTATTATGTGGCTCTTGTCCGAAAATTGATTTTGCTCTTATAAAGCTTAGCGTAGCTTAACAACGTTAACTAGTTTAATACATACTTGGACTTAGGGGATACTGCGTATGTTGTATGGGGCTTTGTATTGGTGTATTTTGAAGTGTACGATTTACTAAGCCACCGCTTCCAGTGTTTGGCATTGGTGTAGATATGAACATCTGTGGTGTGTTGCGTTGGTCCATGCCCATAGAGTTGTTTAGGTATGGACGCTGTCCTTGCAGACATCCCATCATTTGCATTTGATTAGAAAATGTTGGCTCTCCTCCATATAACAAAAACGCCTGCGCGGCCCACATTGCTAAATCGGTTCCACGATATTGTTCGGAACATGTTAAAAGCAAAGCTGTAGCACATGCTTCACGATCACCTTGAGCCTGAAGATTAGTAAAAGTATACGTTAAATGCAATATCAAGATTGACACTGGTTTTCATAAATCATTATTAAAGTTATACATTATTTATCATAATAAAAAACTATTGTTTCCTTTATGAATAACGAAGTGAATCTTTGTTTTACCTGAAAGAATGCTTTGACTGCATCATGGTGGGGTCCATGGCATGCTATAAGTAGTTGTTGCAAAATATCCACAGGTTTTAGAAGTGAAATAATGTGAGCTCCTTGATTAGTTAATAAAACTACTTTTTTAGGCTTTTGCGCTTTACGCAGTATTGATTGTAGTTGTGCTTTACACCGATCGGGCATCTCTGCTAAACTCCAGACAATACCATCCAATGGAATAACCGTTGTAGATTCAGTTAGATATGGACGATGTGGAAAAGGTGCTGAACTTATAGACCACAAAATATCCTGATCTTGTTGGGGCGTTGAAACCATTAGCAAGGTGCCTTCATTATAATGGGCGGAATGAACTTGTTTCGGTTTATTAATGGTTGTATTAGGAGTATATCCAGGCGGTAGCCTCACATGTAAAAGATATAAACCTTGTTGCCTTCTCTGTTCAGTTGCTGAACTATGTGGGGAAGTTTGAGTTGGCAATGGGCCCGTCGCGTTACCTACAGGTGTTGGTTTTGTAGGCGAATGTTGATTTATCGACATTTGCGTTTGGTTAAGAGGATTTTGATAATTATTAGAGTTTTGAAATCCTACTAACGGATTAGTTGCAAAAAATAAACGAACGCCACATTGAGTTATTGCTAATAAATGAAGATTTTGACAATCATCCGCAGATAATGGGCATATTGATTTAATATTCTTAAACACTGCTGGATCTACGGTTCTTAAATGTAGAAAAGTTTAAATTTTCATTAGTACATAGATGCATAACAAAGGATATATTAAAATACTTACTTAATTATGTTTCCAGCACTTTGAGAAATTTCATTCTGCGTTACTTTAGCTATCCGACGCATCGTGTTACAATCATGTCCCATTTCCCATGCCTCTATTGAACCTTTTTCGGTCAAGACATATAGCAATTGACGGCTACTATCTACTGCCAAACGAACAATTGGATCATTTTCCTAGTAGAGTACCAAAAGAAATAGGATATTAAAAACTAAAAACATTGTTATAGGAAATTTATTTACCGAAAATACTTTTAAAAAACTTGGAACAATGTACGAAACGATGCCCTGCGAATGATTTACTTTTTTACACCGTTTTCCGAACCAACTTGACTCTGCTTGATAAGATATTTCGTAAAGACAACCATCACGTCCTCCGAGAAAAATTCGACCATTATCACTTCCCATAACAACGTTTATCGAAACGTTATCTGTGCTTAATATGAAAATTGGTTTGTTCATTAACTGCATCTCTTCGAAAGTTGCCGTGCTCTGAATGTTGCGTGTTGGAGAAGATATAGTTTTCGTTGTGTCTCCAAAGGTAACGCCTATAAAAGTAAGTTTTTAGATTTACATTCAACAAAATATATGAAATGTTAACTTAATGAAAATCTGACAAAAAGTTATTAATTGAGGCATTACCTAAAACAATTATTTCAATTGGTGTAGTAAGAATTAAGAGATATTTAACATCATTGATAAAAACTCCAGGTTTTGGTTTGACCAAACCAACACTTATAATTAGATGACTTAATCCATCGTAATATGCAACATCACGAGACTGTTCATATGTCCAAATCTGAAATAAAAAATATACATATATTATACAGAATTACAAAGTAAAAATGTTAAATATATTCTGTTCACATACATATATTTCTGAATCAATAGTTAACCATGCTCTTCCTATCTCTGGAAAAAGCCCCATCATACAGTGACATTTGATATCTAAAATATAAATAAAATGTAAATCTTGATAAATTTCGAAAAAGGCATAAATATATAAATATATAAATAAATAAATTGAATATACAAGCATAAATAGGATAGGATAGATAGGATGCTACCATATTATTTTATCAAACAAGGTTTTACGGTCTTTCATTGATTAATTTTAAATTTGTTTTAAGTCCTTAAAACATTTTTGAATCTTACCAAAAAGTAATGGAAGTGAATCTTTACAAATGACATTTTCTAATTTGCAAATTAATATTTTCTGTTTTTGTAGTATTTATATTTAATATCGATACATATTGGAAATAGCATTATATGTATGTATATTGCTGATGTCATTGTTTCATAGATTTTTGGCAATTGAGACTCGTTTAGTAAAATTAATAGATAATTTTTTATTTATTGTTTTTTTATTAAATATAGAAGAAATAACAGAGATGGGGGTAGTGCACTAATTTTTAACTATCACTAATTATTAGTGGTAGTTCAAAATTATTCACTATTTTTATTTATGTTTAGTGATGAATTGAAAAATATAAGCCTCATTCAATAATAGTGGTAGTGATATTTAAAATTTTTAACTAAAAATATTTTAAAAATAGTTAAAATATTTGCTTTTACAGCCTAGTGAAATAATTTTTTCTACACTAAATTATTAGTTCAAAAAATATTCCTGCACTATTTTTTTTTTTTTTCAACAGAGAAATGTTTCACTCATTTGAAAGTTTAAGTTAATAGGACAGTCTGGAAATGATTTAAGTCAACCAAAAACTCATTGGACGAATATTATTAATGAGTAAACCGTTCATTATTTACAAAGGTTCCAAGCTTTTGCCTAAAAAACATCCAGTAACCACATCATTTTGGCAACTGGCAACGCAGATGACGTGGAAATCGAGGTACAAAATTAACCAATTAATTTAATACTCCGAGGAGAGTTCACCATTCCGCTAAAGAAAAAATCGTTATACTTGAGCAGAAGAAGGCAAAAGTTTTGGAATTTAGGTGTTTCAACCATTTCTTTTTAAAGCATGTTGTTGGGGTCTATCATAGTGCCATCGCTAACATAATCTGTATTTTCCATTTTAATAGATGTACCTTTTAAAAAATTGAATCATTTATTGTCTTACAAATTCTTTCATTTTCATAAAAAAAATAGTGCAAAGAAAATTATTGAATCCTTTTGTTAGTGACTGTTCAAATTTTTAACTATTTGAGTGTAGTGCTTTTTTCTACACTACCACTCAATTGAGTTACAGTTAAAAAAATAAAATTATCACTAAAAAATATTAGTGCTAAAAATATAAGCTTCACTACCACTAAGCTCCTGAAAATTAGTGAAAAATATATTTTTGGAAATAATATTTAGTGCTAGTTAAATATTAGAGCCCTGCATGAGTGACTCTATTTGTCACCCACAATGAGTAATCCACTGCATTGCACTCAACTCATTTTTTATTTTGAATATTATTTACAAAGAGTGTGTACATTTGATTTTAATAATTCAAATTTTTGTTTTACTCAATCATTGCGAGTATTTTTGTGTAAGTGTACGTCTACATTCAAATCGAGTAAGTTAACAACTTACGTATATTAAAAGAATACAAAATAAATATTTTGAATCGAGTGAATCGAGTTTTAAATGCCAAAAGAAAAATAATTTAAAAAGAAATATAATAAAAAAACATGATATCGCAAATTAATTTAAAAATGGACAACAATGAGGTATATCTAATTAATAAATACTAAACCGTATGATAAATGTTTAATTTATATTATATTTTATTGTAAATTGGAACAGAATTCTAGCGGCGCCGTTGATAGCCCAGCATCCGTTTCCAGTGTAACTAGCTTGTTGAGCCATGAGATAATAAAAACAAAAATAATTAACCAAGAATATAAATTAAGTAATAAAACTGGACGTAGTAACGTATGGAAAACATTTGGAATGATTATAAACGACTCAGGTGAAGAATTGTTAAATGTAGTCGCGTGTCGATTTTGCTTTAGCGTGTATAAACATAACAGTAGATCTACTACAAACTTGGTAAGACATAAATGCTACATCGCCACAAAAGATCGGGATAACGTACACAACGTTTTAGTGGATAGTGACACAAAAAGGAAAGCATTGTATGCATTTACCAAATGAATTATTGAAAACTGCAGACCTTTTACATTGGTGGAAGATTCCGGTCTTCATGAACTTGTTAGCTTCGTTTTGTCCATCGGTTCAAAATATGGTAAGCACGTCATTGTAAAATCATTACTTCCACACTCAACAACAGTAGGAAGAAATGTTTGTAAGCTTTACGATGTAGCATTTTCTGAGATAAAATCCGACATCACTAAAGTCAAGGACATTGGGTTCGTTCTAACCACCGATTTGTGGACGGACAGCTATTTACACAAATCATTTTTGGCAATAACAATGCATTATATAAAAGATACACAATTGAATAACGTTTTGTTGGGAATACGCAGCATGAATGGCGAAAAATGTACTAGTGAGTTGTATATACCATTATAAAATTTTAATGGCCACTGATTTTTTATCAATTATTCCGAAATCCTTTAGGTGATAACATATACTGCAAAGTTTGTAACATACTTAGCGAATTTGATTGTGTATTTACTGAAAATGTTACCGTCGTGACGGACAGAGGATCAAATATGGTTGCTGCTTTTCGCAGCGCTGCCCATATATTGTATTAACCATCTACTGAATAATGTTATTCAGAAATCCATAGATGCAGTCCCAGAAGTAAAATTTATTTGCGATGTAGCCACCAAGATAGTGAGGTACTTTAAAAAGACTGGGATAAATTCAAATATAACAAAGTCCTTAAAAAGCTTTTGTCCATCAAGATGGAATACTTTCTATTATATATTAAAAAGCAGTTGGGACGAAGTTGTTTTCATATTACAAGAAAGGCATGAAATCCATCGTATACAGAATATTGACTTAAGAAATATAACTGCTGTGTTGGATATAATTCAACCCTTTGAAGAAGCCTCGAAGATACTAGAGGGAGAGAAATATCCAACAATTCATTTGGTCTACATTTATGTAAACAGCCTTCAAAAGAAATGCGCTGAAAACAACGAGGATATAAGTATCGCCCAGGCTTTGAAAAGCAAGCTTAGGCACTACTTGGAAACTGTCGTTTTTTCTAATTTGTCCATCTGGCATCGAGTTGCACTATTCCTGTTCCCCCCTGCAAACAAATTGCTAAGTTTTTCTGAAGAAGATCGAAATCTTATAAAATTAAAATGTATCGAGTTGATACAAAGCCTAGTACAGAATTGTGAGCCTATAACAGAATATAACACAACAACTGTCAGTAGCCTCAATCTCATCGAAAAATTTAGAGCTGTTTTCAGACTTTATTCGATCATCTGATTTTCAAACCAACGAGGATTTAGTGGACTCAGAGTTGAGACGATACGAAAACACAGAAGTGTCCTTTTTTGATGATTTCGACACACTTAAGTGGTGGGATTCGCATAAGAACGAGTTCCCCTTTTTACACAAATTGAGCTGCCGAATCTTAGCAATACCAGCAAGTAGCGCACCTTCAGAACGGGGTTTCTCTTGTGCCCGCAACGTAATTTCTGAAAAAAGATGCTCCATTGCCTCAAATGATATTGCGGTAAATCAAATTATTTTCTTACACACGAATCAGAAAAAATACGCAGTTGCACAAGAAGAAGGTGCTCTCAGTGCTAATATATAATTATAAAAATCCTTATATTTCATATTTTTTCACTTTACAGTAGTTTTGTTTACATCTCTAAATAATATTCAAATATAATTATTACATGAGTTACATTAATAAAATATACATATATACATAACAATAATGCATTTTATTTGTAATCTCGATATAAAAATTCATAAGAACGGTAATTCGTTCAAAGAATTGCATTCTAATTAAAACACATAATAAATCCTTCTATGATTCGATTCATTCGCTGTTTTGCACTCGATTTGAAACACAAAAACACTCTCAATACTCATATCATACAATACTCTTTACATTCATGTATTTTACTTTATTTGAATTTTTTGTCATATACATTTTTGTTTTGAATAAATTATTATATTCATTCAAAAAACAATGAGTGAGTCAAAAACAGTACTTACAAAAAATTAAATGTTTTAAAATATTATTTAAGTCACTCATGCAGGGCTCTATTAAATATTGATTTAACTAATAATTTAGTGCACTACCCCCATCTCTGAGAAATAAGAAAAAATATTGGTCATACTTTTTATAAAATTTTCTTATTCTGAATGAAAATGGATTGGGATAAGAGTAATTTTTTTACTAAATTCATTCTAGCTATGAATTATTTTTTCTGTGAGTAGTAAAAGAACAACGGTAACCAATTATTCTTCGATATATTTATTATTTGCAATAATGCTAATTTATTTTAATAAATTTTTAAAATATAATTATCACACTGGATAAATATTTACGGTTATATAATCATAAGTATTAATATTTTTGCCAAAATTACTTTAATCTTAAAAAATTACAAAATGAAAATAATAAGATATATATGTATATATGTAAATGATCTGGGTCATATTTATTTTAATGAAAGTAGATTTCTTGGTTGCGGCTTCCCTCACTATATACAAACGTTTTTATATAAATTGTTTACTTACTTAATCCCAAAAGCAAGAAAATATTAATTATTTTATTTAATTAATTCTTGGTTAAGAGTTTAGCTTTTAACCGCTGTACAAAAGGACTTCGTTATTAGTATGCATAGTAATTAATTTTTGGAAATAATTCTCTGGAAATATTGGAGATATCGTAACGAAATTTCACATGGTTTCAAGTTGATTTTCAGCTGTAGGTGATCGTAGGCGCAATGAGCTCATGATGGTCACCTCAGGTATTACATCGAAAAAACTACCAATAATTTATTTATGATCCGAATGAGCTGAAATTTAAAACATAACCCCTTGAGAAGAACTACAAAAAATACATTTGTGGACATTTTCCTTTCCAGGGGCAGGACTAATAAGTGAAAATTGCTTGCAAATCATCGAAAAAGCATTTAAAATGTAGAAGTATGTATAGTATCATTGAAAACGTAATGACTTAGGGATTAAACTTTAGTAAATATATAATATAATGGACCTATTGTTAAAACACCACTTACAAAAAAGTTCAAAATCATTACACATATAGAGATTTTTTTAAATCCTAAATATAAAATTAAAATTAATTTAAAATTTGAACGGATAAAAATATTGGAACAAAATTTTGGACAAATATAGATCCCGTCTAAAAAAAAGATCGATGAATTTAAAAAATAAAAAAATTTAAACATAAATACATAAGGAGTAGAGATATTTTAAATTTATAATTGGATTCTTAGCGATAAAAAAATGTGATATCCTAAGTAACCAACTTATAATAGCTATCCACTGGCCCTTGAATTCTGTTTACTACGCGCGTTGACTGCAGATTCTTAATCACCAAGCTCAAATTTAGTTACACTGAAATTTTCAGGCTTTCATTTTATTCAATAACTGAGAGGGATATTCATATTAGCTTTTACACATATAGATGCAGATGTACACATGTATATATCTTTCTGACAATAAATGTTTTTCTGGCCATTAAGGCTTTCTTTGATTCTTATTAAATAAAAATATTGGAGAATATATTTTTTTAAAGTGGGCTTTCATTCAAAATCCTATTAGTCTTATTAATACCTTTCTAAAGCATTTATCGTTTTGTGTGATATGGAATGGAACACTATATATGTTACATGTGAGAGTTCAAAATCACAGCAATAAAAAACCGTCTCAATAGGTAAAAAAATTCACTTACGTTTAAAGTGCTCTAAAATTTCAGGAGGTATAGGAATTTTATTGACGGTTTGCAATTGGTTTAGCTGCTTATGACCCATAGACAAACTTGACAGTGTCTGGTAATCGTAATCATTAAGACCACTGGCCGTTGCCATTCCATGTTGATTTATGCCGGTCATCTTTGATATAAACAAATTTATAAATTTCAATTGGATTTAATAGAAAAAAATATGTATGTACCTCCAAAAGTCCTGGTGCACACAAATCTTTAGAATCATGTTTTTCCAACATGCTTCCGGCTACATCCAGTAAGTCGAGTTGACCACTCATTTGTGTTACATTCATTTTGTTAACTTATTTAGACAATTTGTTTTAACTTAATTACTTTATTTGTCTATTTCTTAAAATTGTACAGCAGAAATAATTTTTGTATTAATAAAATTACTAAACCTCCTTTAATTCTGTTTGCTACGCGCGTTTTTGACAATCGGTAAGCAGACTCCACCGCTGCAATATTAATGATGGCGGCGTCAGTCACTAAAATATTCGCCGTCACCTTCAAGTCGTCAAAGGTGACTTGAAAATGTTATATAATAATGTTGCTGAATTAGTACTCTGTTTATGTTTATTTAAAAGTATTTTTTATTTATGTTTCACATGAAATTTTTTAGAAACTTCATCAAAAAAAAAAAAAAAAAATTGTAACGAAAATGTTATGGAATAATGTTGCTGAATTAGTACTCTTTTTGTATTGTTGAAAAACGTGAAATGTTTCTTACAAAATTTTTTAATGTTACAAAAAATAAATTTTCTTTTTAATTTATATTTCAATTTAATTTGTCAACCCCGTTCAAAGTTGCGAAAAATTATGTTTTTTTCATACGAAAAAATTGATGTGCAACAAATGTAGTCTATCTCGCGATTTTGGAAAGTTTGTCGCTATTGCTATAAATTATGTATCATTGCTTTAAATACGTAAAATCCATATGTTTTTTGAAAACTGAAAATAAAACAAATCTTAATAATATAAACTATTCAGTGTTTTTTATTTAAAATGAATGAAAATATATTATTGACTGCTTGTGCAGTAAATTTATTGTTTTGTTTATCATTTTTTGATGATTTTGTTAATTTTTCGGCTCGAGAAATAATAATTTTGTGAAAAACAATAAAATGTAATCAGATGTTTGTTTTAATTTTGTGCTTTAGAAAACAAGGTTGCCAGATAAATTTTACAATGTTTTTCACAATAAGAACAGAGTACTACTGCTTTTGCGAAATTATTTCGAAAATATTTCATACCAAATATTTTATATGTAGTTTGACAGCATTTCGCACGAAATTTTGAACAGAGTACCTATAGGTACTCTATAGCTATAGGTGAAGTCAATTCAACAGCTGATCACTCATTTTTTTATTTGAGGTAGATACAACTGTCAAAGTACACCATTTAGAGTTGCTACAATCCGAAAAAATATGTACATCTATCTAGGTATTCATTATATTTTTAGAACAAAAAATTAATAAATAAATTTTATATTCATTTTAAACCGTAGTAAATTTATGCGAAATACTCAAAAATTGCACAAACTATTTGTCTTAAATATGCATCTATTTTATCAATTATAGGGAACTTTTTACTAATCAATTGAGAGTACAAACATCCCACAATTGTAAATAAAATTATTAAAACTCGATTTTATCATAGATATCTTAATTTTTAACAACTTTCCATGGTAGTGGTTTGGTCACATTTCTATAAAGATCATTATATATTTCTTATACGACAATAGTAGAGACCTACACGGTATTATAAGTTCCCAATATTGACTGATAAAAAATAATATGTATATAATTTGTAGTTTTGCTACTACATACTTACAATTTTAATAATAATTTTTTGTTATTTTAATTGATAATTTATTTACTTTTTTAATAAGTAAATAATAAATAATATTCTACCCCCTTATTCACAAACAACATTTTTATTTTATAAAAGGTTTATAAAACAAAATTTCCATACAAAATACCGTTTATAAAATAAAAATTTTGTTTGTGAATAATTTTTCAATTCATGTATAATTTTTAATAAATTTTATCTTATAATACATATTTACTTTACGTGAAGAGATTTTTGGGCATGTGGGATTGTCTTTTTGTAAGGTAAATTAAAATAAAAAACACGGTAGCAACATGTAATTTTTTTGACAGAAGTATCTACTTTTGTTGTTTTTGTAGAATTGACTTCACCTTATAAGTGCACCCTGAGTGGTATGTTAAATAGATATCACAAAGTATACAGAGGTGTCACTTTTGACATTTAAAAAAGTCTAAAATCAGTGCCTCGTTTCTGTAACTCTCGCATCGAGAAGTTTCTCGCATGAAACAGTGGAATTGAAGAAAAAACAATGTGAATTGAAACAAAATATCATTTCTCACATGCAAGTGTTTCTGTAAGAAAATTTTGTGAGAACTATCTGTCATTTATGTTTTTTGACTTAAGTTATTGGAAATTTGTGAGTAAAAGTGTTTCTGTAAGAAAATTTTGTGAGAAGTTTCTCACATGAACTGTCAAAAATACTCACATTTTAAAACGGTGCGGAAAGGAAATTTTTAAGTAAATAAAATTTAATTTAAACATGAATTATATGAAACAATGAAAAAGTAATGTTATATTTATAATTATTTAAGATTAAAATAAATATTGTTCACTAATTTTTAGAAAATAGGAGGAATTTCGGATATACAGAAGCAAATGCTAAAAAAGTACGTGGACACAAACTTAGAATTTGCCAAGGGCAAATTTAGTGGCATAATTTTTCGAACAATTTTCATTTAATTTCTATATTTTTTGTTTATTTATTCTTCGTTTATAAATTTGTTCGGCAATTTTTGTTTTCTTCTTTTAATTTTTATGTTTTTGACAGCTGTTTTATTGGAAATTTCCAATAAAAACGTAATTCGTGCAGCCTCTTCTCACTTTAAGTTACAGAAACACTTTTTACTCACAAATCGAGAAACGATGGAATTTTTTGTTTCACACTTCTCGATGTGAGAACTTCTCACTCAAAGTTACAGAAACGGGGTACAGCTTTTGTTTGATTTTGAAATTGTTTGGTGAGAAGAGGTATATAAAATACAGCTAAAAAAATCATTGAAATCGTTTTGTGCGAAAGAGAGGCAAATAGTTTTTTGCTCGTGACGCCTCTGTATACCCTGTGTAGATATTTCGAGACAGAAGAAGCAGAAACAACACATACACAAAATTTTTTTAATTATTTTATTTATTTATTTAACAATATTCAATAACCTAGCCTATATGCCATAAGCGGTTACAAATTTCTACTTTACAATAATTCTTCCAACACAAAATACATAATTATATAAAAAAAATTAAAACTAAATTTTTTAAAAAGATAATAAACTACATAAAATAACGATAGGACAATTAAATTGTACTGCATTGATCATAAATAAATTCCTACATAATTTGCAATCAATCAAATATAATTCAAAGAAGCAAAACAGGTTAAAATAAAGAAAAGAACATGTAGAAAGAAGTCATAAACAATCCCAAAAATTAACTCACAGAACCAATCAATATGTCATACAGCAACTATATGGCAAATAATACTCCAGACTGTAAAGGACATACATATGTATGTGTGTTTTCAGTGCCTGTGTTCTGTAACTCTCGCATCGAGAAATTTCTCGCATGAAACAAACACAAAACTCTATACACACAATATCAGTCACAATTCATCTTCCACCAAAACAGTCACAAAGTAAATTCATCCAAATCAGCAATATTGACTAAGCAATCACAACATCCTTAAACCACACAGCATTCCCCCATTTAATAGATTTCAAAATTAAGCCATAACGTAGAAGTCAGCTGCCGCCAGCCGGGTAAATACTTCATATGCGTTTCTTAATATTAAGTGTTCCGGAAGAGATTTTTTTAGTTAATTACGTTATCTACACAATATAAAATATAAAACAATATTGTGTAATATGTTAACATTTAATAGAAAAAAAAAAATCTTAAATAACATATTTGTATACATTCCAATTATGCCATTATTTAAATAAAATGATATTTGTTTACGAGATGCTTGGTATTTTCAGATTTTTTACATAAATAATTCAAAATATTAACGAAGTTTTTCTCCGTTTAACGGACATTTTTAAAAATAAAAATGTAAACATAACAAACTTTTATCAGCTACGTAAAGCAGGCGAATTAAGAAAAAATTATCAGCTGATTGAATAACACCACCTTACATGAATTTTTATAAAGAAACACACATAACATATATAAAGAAACACATACGAAGAATTTAGCCGAACAGCGGCAGCTTACTTTTACATATGGCTTAATTTTGAAATCTATTAAATGTTAACATATTAAATAATATTGTTTATATATACACTATGTAGATAAAGTGATTAACTAAAAAAAGTCTGTTCCGGAACGCTTTATATAACAAAACCCATATCAGGTATCTGCTACGGCCGGCGTCTGCTACATTATGGTCAAATATTGAAAATTACTCCGCCGGAGTAGAATTATCCATTCGCAACAAAGATTCATTCATTCGTTATATATATTTTTTCGTGAATATGTACTTTTTTATGTTTATTTTTCACAAAAAATTAAGTTTTACTTTAGGCACTCACTTAAATTTTGCAAATTAATCTGCCGAAATAGAATTTTTCGTTTGAAACAAACATTATTCAATTCAGAATATATTTTCTTCACAAATTTTAATATCTTTATCTTTATTATTAATAAAATATAAAAATTTTAAAAAAATTTTTCATGAAATGAATTCGCCGTACTTATGTTTTTTGACATCTACGTAAACCAAATGCAAAAACAAAATACATGTAAAATGTTGTTGTTGCAGAACTGCAACCACCTTATCTGAATTCGCCTTGATGTTGTTGTTGCAGAACTGCCACCACCTTATCTGAATCCGCCTTGATCGTAAGGTTCAATTCAGGGTGCACTTATAAGGTGAAGTCAATTGAACACCGTGTTTTTTTAATTTACCTTACAAAAAGACAATCCCACATGCCCAAAAATCTCTTCAAGTAAAGTAAATATGTATTATAAGGTAAAATTTATTAAAAATTATACATGAATTGAAAAATAAGGGTAAGCCCCCTTATTCGCAAACAAAATTTTTATTTTATAAACGGTATTTTGTATGGAAATTTAGTTTTATAAACCTTTAATAAAATAAAAATGTTGTTTGTGAATAAGGGGGTAGAATATTATTTATTATTTACTTATTAAAAAAGTAAATAAATTATCAATTAAAATAACAAAAAATTAATATTAAAATTGTAAGTATGTAGTAGCAAAACTACAAATTATATACATATTATTTTTTATCAGTCAATATTGGGAACTTATAATACCGTGTAGGTCTCTACTATTGTCGTATAAGAAATGTAGGATGTACACTCGACCCACTGTAACATAACAGGACACTAATACTATGACAT